GTTGTCCTTTTTTGTCTTTAACCTGGATATATTTGGGAAGTGTTTGTTTACAGTTCAGGCGCAATTCGGTCAGCAGACAATAAACATTGACTTCATTCTTTATACCAAATGTTTATTTTAAACAATCAAATCCACGAATCAATCGACATCGCTCGTCAAAACGTTTGACAGATTTACAAACACTCTTTCAAGTAAGTTCAGTGAAACAATCTGACCATGGGCTTGACAGGTTTTAAGTAGATTTAGAGGTAAAATGGATTTCCTTGTTTGTCCACTAGCAAATCTTTAAATATTCGACAAATGAAATCAGTCCAACTTGCAGGGGAGGTTTTTGGAAGAGCGTTGGTCTGTGTTGGAACATCAAACACACGCGCATGGTCCATCGTCTAATAACCCATGGTTATTAACCAATGACAATTTTATATGATGATATCTTGTATAACGATGCAATATAATACAATTATGATATGTTATCATGCAGACATGATGTGGTGTTTTAATATCATATCATGTTGATTTAATAATAGATCCGGGGCCGGAGTTCGATTTCTCCGACTGGACGTGAAAAGGTATAGGGCCACCTGTCAGACCTCGAGGTTTTCTACGGGTCCTCTAGTTTCCCCGAACATTAGGATACTCTGTAGTTTCCCTCCATGCCAACAAGAGTGATTAATACAAGTTACGAGAACTTGTTTCAAAATTGTTGTGAAGTAAATTTTAATTCAATGCCGATGTAGTACTCTCATCATCTAAAGGTGTTGATATATTTCGAGATTTATTTGTGTCAATACATGCCCGAGAGTTCCATTTGCTACGTATACAGTATTGGCGAAATAATGAAAACTTTTTATGCGGGCTAAATAGTATATTTTATCATGATGATATAAAAACATGCTGGGGAATTCTGACGTGGAAATAAACCGTTATTTTAACTCAAAATAGATAACACCAGTGCAACATGTATACAAACGAAATGTATAATACAGTAATGTATAATAATTTCACTATCAGAAAACCCTTATTGTACAGTTATCGGTTAAGATTTAGGCATGTGGTTGATGTAAAGTAAAAACAAAAGTACACAAAAGACAAAAAAACAAACAAAAACAAATACAGAAAAAACCCACAAAAACACACACAAAAATAAAATACCAAAAAAATGAGTATTTAAGATCGACGTGGTGAATTAAGCTATGTCAGCCTGTACACATAATAAAATATCTATCATTACGTAAGTAGTGACAAGAACAATAAAAAGGAAACTAAAGTCTAACCAAAGAGTTTGCTATATTGTTGTTATTACATACCCACGATGGTGCCTTTACATACATTTTCTGCAGAAAAAAAATATAACCCGTCTTTATCCCAGATTGATGTTCTGTTTGTTTCAGTTTATAATTAAAACTTTACCCGTCATTATCCCAGATTGATGTTCTGTTTGTTTCAGTTTATAATTAAAACATTACCCGTCATTATGATAATAATACTGATATTGATGATATAGATTTAGCAGATTTTTTGAATACATGTGATGTTTCAAAATTAGAAAATAACGAATCTTTTGGTCTAGAAGGGTTAATTACTTTAGATGAAGCAACAAAAACTTTGAAAAATATGAAAAATAACAAAAGTCCCGGTTCTGATGGGTTTACTGTAGAATTTTTTAAGTGTTTCTGGAAACAGCTAGGTGGGTTCATTGTTAGATCTATAAATTGTGGGTATAGGAAAGGTTTGCTATCAGTAACACAAAGGCAAGGTATTATAACATGTATTCCCAAGGGAGATAAACCTAGGCAGTTCATAAAAAATTGGCGACCCATAACATTATTGAATATAGTCTATAAAATAGCGTCTGGATCGATAGCAGGTAGAATTAGAACAGTTTTAGATAAATTAATTAGTGAAGATCAAACAGGATTTCTTTCAGGCCGTTATATAGGGGAAAATACTAGATTAGTTTATGACATTATGCAATATGCAGAAGAAAGATATATTCCAGGTATGTTATTAATGGTAGATTTTGAGAAAGCATTCGACTCAGTCTCATGGGAATTTGTTGATAAAGTTTTAAATTATTTTAATTTTGGTTCTGATATTAGATGCTGGATAAAACTACTGCACACCAATGTAAGTTCAACTATAAACCAAGGTGGTAATCTTTCATCATTTCTAAACATAAAAAGAGGCTGTCGCCAAGGTGATCCAATCGCCCCCTACATTTTTATTTTGTGTGTTGAAATACTAGGCATAAGACTTAGAAATAACAATAAGATTAAGGGTATAGAAGTCAATAAAAGTCCAATCCTTATTTCTCAGTATGCTGATGATACTTCTCTCATTTTAGATG